GGTGTAAAAGCTGGAACTTGGAGCCAGACAGATCTAAGTTTGAAACACATGTCCCTCACTGTCTAGCTCTGCAATGGAGGTGCACGCTCCTCCGGGCCCCGGTTTCCCCATCTGGAGGCTGGAAGGGTGATTTCCATCTTATGGCCAGTTGTCTGTGAGCTGGTGATGCTGGGGGTGCCAACAGCAGCCGTGGCACTCGACGTCCTCTCTCTCTCTGACAACAAGGGTAAATGTAAACCTCTGCTGTGACACCCCCCACCCCGGGGCAGCTCCTGGTCTCGTCCAGTGCTACCTAAGGACTCAGCACTTTGTCACATCTCTTGTAAAAGCAAATCCATTTCTGTCTCTCTCTCAAAAATTAATAAACATTAAAAAAAAAAAAGATAAATAGAACTACCCTATGGCCCAGCAATGGCACTACTAGGTATTTATCCAAGTATACAGGGGTGCTGTTTCAAAGGGACACATGCACCCCAATGTTTACAGCAGCACTATCAACAATAGCCAAAGTATGGAAAGAGCCCAAATGTCCATTGATGGATGAATGGATAAAGAAGATGTGGTGTCTATATACAATGGATTATTACTCGGCGATCAAAAAGAATGAAGTCTTGCCATTTGCTACTACATGGATGGAACTGGAGGGTATTATGCTAAGCGAAATTAGTCAGCAGAGAAAGAGAAACATCATATGACTTCACTCCTAAGTGAGATTTAAGAAACAAAACAGATGAACATAAGGGAAGGGAAGCAAAAGTATAAAAACAGAGAGGGAGACAAACCATAAGAGTCTCTCTCTTTTTTTTAACGTTTATTTCTTTTTGAAAGAGAGGTGGGGAGGGGCAGAGAGAGAGGGAGACACAGAATCCCAAGCAGGCTCCAGACTCTGAGGGGTCAGCACAGAGCCAGATGTGGGGCTCGAACTCAGGAACCATGAGATAGTGACCTGAACTGAAGTTGGATGCTTAACTGACTGAGCCACCCAGGTGCCCCCTGGAGACTCTTAAATACAGAAAACAAACTGAGGGTTGATGGAGGGAG